GGGACACGGGATTTGTGCCCCGTGGGGACACGGGATGTGCCCGAGGACATCCAGTGAGGCTCTGGGGCCTGGGGCTGTGTGGAGGTGAGGGGACATCCCCAAGATCACACTGCCCGTCCTCCCAGCTTCCCAGCCCTCCCCGGCTGTCCCTGGGCTGGCCAGCTGTCCCCATGGCACTGCCCCACCGTGTCCTGCACGGCTCTGTCCCCTCGCTTGGCTCAGCCCCGAGGCCGCAAGGTGCTCACTTGGACGGGGAGCAGCAACAGGGCCTCGGCTCTTGGCTCCCCGCAGGTCCCTCCCGGGCCTCAGCTCTGCCAGCGCCCGCTGAGCACCACGAGGGAGCAATTAGTGATGTTAATTAAGTTGCCCGGTGCCAAAGCAGCCCTGCAGCGAGGCCTGATGCTGCCTGTAGCCCCCCAGCCCCGGGCAGCGCCGCAAACGCCCCGAAGCAGCAGATCCGAGGCCCGGTGTCTGCGCCGCATCTCTGCCCTCACGGCTCCCGCGCCTCCCGGGGCTCCCACACGAGCCCGCCGGCACTCGGGGGGGGTACGGGGGTGTGGGGGTGTCTGTGTGGGTGTAGGGGGGTGTGGGGGTGTCTGTGTGGGTGTAGGGGGGTGTGGGGGTGTCTCTGTGGGTGTAGGGGGGTGTGGGTGAGTGTGGGTGTCTGTGTGGGTGTAGGGGGTGTGTGGGGGTGTGAGTGTGGGTGAGTGTGGGTGTGTGTGTGTAGGGGTGTTGTGTGGGTGTCAGTGTGGGTGTGTGTGCACTGTGTGGGTGCGTGTTTGGTGTGGGTGAGTGTGGGTGTGTGTGTGTAGGGGTGTTGTGTGGGTGTCAGTGTGGGTGTGTGTGCACTGTGTGGGTGCGTGTTTGGTGTGTGTGGGTGTCGGTTTGGGTGTGTGTGCACTGTGTGGGTGCGTGTTTGGTGTGGGTGAGTGTGGGGGTGTGTGTGTAGGGGTGTTGTGTGGGTGTCGGTGTGGGTGTGTGTGTGTAGGGGTGTTGTGTGGGTGTCAGTGTGGGTGTGTGTGTAAGGGTGTTGTGTGGGTGTCTGTGCGGGTGTGTGTGCACTGTGTGGGTGCGTGTTTGGTGTGTGTGGGTGTCTGTGCGGGTGTGGGTGTGTCTGTTTGTGTCACTGTGTCTGTGTCTGTGTGTGCAAGTGCAAGCCCTTGCACAGGCCGGGGACGCGCACACCCAGGGCTGGGGACACGCACACCCACAGGTGGATGCACACAACGCTTCCACAACACACCCGAGCACACAAGCGACACAGCCCTGGGCAGGTGCTCACAGGTGCCACAAGCACTCACACACACATGCTGTGCATTTACATACCCTGTGCACGTTTACACGCGTTCATAGCCTTGCACACACCTTGCACAAGCGTTCACACCTTCACACGATCGCACACGCTCGCACAGGTGCACGGACACACCCCGTGCACGCGCCCTGGCCCTTGCACACTGATGCCCACCCCTCCACGCTCACAGGTGCACAGACACAGCCCTGCCCGTGGACACCCGTGGGCTGCAGGCTGTGCCCGGCTGCGGGTGCTGAGCGGTCCCCGCTGCCCGTCCCTGGGGATGGTGGCTCCGTGCTGCATCGTGATCATCGCGGGGCTGGCCTGAGCACCCCAGGACTGGGAGGAAAGGCGGCTCATCCAGCTGTCCCCTCTGGGTGCTGCCCACCTGGTGTGGCAGGTTTGGGTGCACAGTGGGTGCCCTGGGGTGTGCTGTGTTGGTGGAGTGAAACGCTGGGGTCCCCCACCTCCTGTTCTCTGGGGAGCTGGCAGGCTGGCTGGGACCTGGAGCCCGCACCCTTTGTCCATGGGTGCAGGGCAGAGCCAGGACCCCTGCCCCAGACCGAGGGGGAAGGATCCAGCAGTCAGAGGTTACCCCTGGCAGCCTCTGGTTTCCAAATCCTGACTCTCCTCCCACCCGCCCTGGAACACAGGGGTGAGGGAGAAACCCTCAAATGGTGGGGACAGACCCAGACACATCCAGGTCTCCTCAGCTGCTGGGAGCATTGGGGAACCTTTGGGGGCCTCGAGAGCAAATAACCCTCAGCTGGGTAGGGGTTAAATGCAGCAGTTCCTGGTTCACCCCCAGAAGGATGTGGGGGCTGTGGGGGACCTCCAGCATTCAGCTCCAGCCCTCCAGTGCCAGGTTTCAGGGCTAGGTGATGCTGATGCCTTGGTGGGGTGGAAAGGTGGTTGTGGCCAAGCCATTGGGTGGCAAAGCTGCAGGGACCTTGTGTGTGTGGGAGTCACGTAATCACCTCAATTTGTTCTGTGAAGAACTGCCTCTGCCTCATGGGAGGGCTCCCCCAGGCCCCCACACCACATTTTGCCCAGGAGCAGTGGTGCAGGAGGGGGGTGTGCAGGTGTGGAGCCACCCTCTGGGTAATTCAGTGCTTGATTCACCTGCGAGGTGGCTGGAGACTCATGGCAGTGTCAGTTTGGGGCAGCAACACCCCCAGGTCTCTCTGGCTGACTTTTTTGAGGTGACTCCTTTCCGAGTTCTGCAGGAAGGGCAGAGGAACACCTGGCCCTGGGGGACGATGCTCTGGCCAAGAGGCTTTGTGAAGGCAAGGAGGAAAGAAGAGATGCAAGGAAGGGGGTGCACTCAAGCCACAGCTCACCTGCCCCCAGAAATTCCTTCCTGGGTTATCTGTGATCCTATTTGTCCCTTCTTCCCCTGTTGGAGGGCCTGGTGTTCTCCTTAACCTGCCTGGCATTCTTCCCTGCTCTGCTCTTCTCTTGCAAGCTGCTTTCTGATGGGGTTGTGGAGGGAGCTTGGGGCTGGAGCCAGGGTTGTGGAGGTCATGGAGACCCTTTGGGGCTGGAGCTGGGTTGTGGAGGTCATGGAGATGCTTTGGGGCTGGAGCTGGGTTGTGGAGGTCATGGAGACCCTTTGGGGCTGGAGCTGGGTTGTGGAGGTCATGGAGATACTTTGGGGCTGGAGCTGGGGTTGTGGAGGTCATGGAGATACTTTCGGGCTGGAGCTGGGGTTGTGGAGGTCATGGAGACCCTTTGGGGCTGGAGCTGGGTTGTGGAGGTCATGGAGATACTTTGGTACTGGAGCTGGGGTTGAGAGGGTACTTTGTACCAGGTTCACCTGCAGGAGTCAGAGCCACATTTGCAAGATGATGTCTGTCCCTGTCCTTGGCGGGTGCTCAGACCCAGCTGGGCTGGGGAGGGCCTGCTGAGAACGTCGGGCTGTGCTGCAGCCCTGGATGAGACCTGAACACCTTCCCTGGCTCCATGGAGGAGCAGAGCTGGCCAGGGGAGCTCTGTGGGGTTGGGAGGGGTGGCACCCAGGATGTGGTACTGGTGACATGTGAGCTGACCCATTGACCTGCTGACTGAATCCACTGCTGCTGTGTAGAGCCAGCTTCCATCCATCCTCAAAATGTGCCCTGCCTAAGCTCCCTGGGGGCTGGAAGAAGAGCAGTGTGTTGCTGCTCTTCTGTTCTCAGACTTGGAAGCTCCCCTGGCGCTGGGAGCAAGTCCTGAGAGTGCCACGCCAGCGCTGGGTCCCTGTGGGTGCCCCATGCCTGGTGTCCCTGCCTGAGAAAAGGAGGAGATGGGAGACCTGGGTTTCTCCAAACTGACCTCATTCTTCTCTCCTGGGGATGCACACCCCTCCCCTCATCCCCGGGGCCTTGCCAGGTGAACATCCTCCCAGGAGTGTCCCTGTTGTCCCCGGGAGGCACAGCACTGGCACCTTCATTGATGCAAGGCTGGGTGATGCTCCCAGTGGCTTTGGAGATGTCAAGGGCTGGGAAACCCAGAGGCCAGCTGGGCTTCCTGTGGCTTGTGACCTCTTGCAGACCTGGGATCTGTGCCCCTCTAGCAGAGGATGAGGTGTCCTGGTGTGGCCCTGCTGCCCATGCAGGGACACTGGGAAGGAGCAGGGGCAGCAGGGACTGGTGTCACCACGAGATGATGTGTTTCAGGGAGCCCCTGACCCACCATGACGTTCAAGCAAGCGTCCATGATGGCCCCGGAGGCCACGGCCAGCACGCTGCCCATGAGCACGATGGAGAACTCCACTGAGGCTGCGGGGCCGGGCGAGAGCAAGGAGGACATGTTCACCAAACTGAGGGACAAGTTCATGAATGAGCTCAACAAAATTCCCTGTGAGTAGCTCCTTTCCCAGGTGTTACCCTTCTGATGACCCCCCACCACCACTCTGGTCCCAGTAGAACCTGTGGCACAAGGTTTTTGGGTGGGAGGGAGCTACAGGGCTGACCATGACAATGGCTTTTGCCCACAGTGCCACCCTGGGCCCTCATCGCCATTGCGGTCGTGGCTGGACTCCTCATCCTCACCTGTTGCTTCTGTATCTGCAAGAAGTGCTGCTGCAAGAAGAAGAAGAACAAGAAGGAGAAGGGCAAAGGCATGAAGAATGCCATGAACATGAAGGACATGAAGTCAGGCAACCAGGTGATGTCCCCCTGGGCTGCTTGACTGACGGCCCCTCTGGCTGTTATGGACTGTGTCAGGGATAGATGGATCCATAGATCAGACTGGGATGGAGCCACCAGGACCCTGGGATGGGACAGTTGAGCCAGGACCTGAGACAGCAGCACTGTCCTCGTCCAGTGTCTGGTGGCCCAGATGGACCAGGCTCAAGCTGGCCTGGACCTGCCAATGCTTCACCTGAGCCAGGAAATGTTGATTTGATCCCTTGTGTCTCCTGCCTCCCTCTGAGCCAGACTCATTTCTCTGAGCCTTTAGCTGAGAGGGGAGGGCTGCCAGGCCAAAACACCCACCAGTTTGGGATCCCCAGAATATCCGTGGTGAAGTGGTAGGTGCTGGTACCTCATCCTGGTGGCCAGCCTGAGGCAGGCTTTGGTACCCACAGCCTTGGGGCCACCCCGGCCACTTCAATGGCCTTGGCCTGTGGCCATTTGGAGGTGGTGGGAGAATTTGGGTGTCTGTGCCTGCTCTTCAGAGCCATGTGGGCACCATGGGCATGCAGACAGGGCTGGAGCAGGAGAGGGGGGAGGTGTGGGGTGGGAATCCCCAGTGGAGAACGAGGGCTGTGTCCTCTGGGCTCCGCAGGTGGTGCAAGCCCTGATCCCCCACCCTGCCATGGGTCCCTTGGTGTCTGTGTAACGTGTCTCTCTTTGCCCACGGTGCCCTCCTGTCCTCCTGCCCTGCTACCCTGGCTGCCTCTCTGCTCTGGGACACTCTCCACGTAAGTGTCACCATGAGCCTCCTTCTCCATCATCTGCTTCCTGGGTGGGATGGGGGGACACATCAAAGAGGGGGTAAGGAGCTGGGACTCCCACCCCATGGACTGTGCTTGGAGAGGCTGGAAGAGGGGTGGATTTCCTAGGGACAATCTATTTCTGAGCCTACAAAGCCCTGATAAGCCCTTGGCTCTGGCTGTACTGCTCCTCCAAGAGTGGGCTGGGGGGCACAGGACCCATCAAACCCTCTCCACTGGAGTCAATCCCTTGTCCTGGCACCCCTGGCAGTGCCCCAGTCATTTTGGCTGGACCAGCACTGGGAGCTCCCTGGGAGCTGCATGGCTGTGGCACAGCCAGTACCACCCCCAGCCTGCTCTGCCAGTGCTTCATGGCCCCAGCACGTGGGACTTCTTTCCTCTGGTGGGGAGAACCTGGGTGCTGACATGCCAGGAGGGTTGGGGTGCCAAGGTCCCCAGTGTTGTGGGGCTGAGTGTCCTGCTGAGCTGGACACCTCGGCTGCCACTGCAGGACCAACAGGACGACGATGACGCAGAGACGGGTCTGACGGAGGGGGAAGGTGAGGAAGAGGAGAAGGAGCCAGAGAACCTGGGCAAGCTGCAGTTCTCACTGGACTACGATTTCCAGGCAAACCAGGTGATGGAGGGGCTGGGACTCAGCTGAGGAGTGGGGTTTGCTCAGGGGAGGAGTTGAGAGGAGGACCTGGGAGGCACATGAGGGAAGGGGGAGCTGGGTGCTGTGTCACAGGAAGTCCTGGCCCATGTTGGACTGGAGATGAGCCCTTGGCAGCTGCAGTGCATGGCCAGGCTGTCTCACTGAGGACTCCTCTGCCCTTCCAGCTCACAGTGGGGATCCTCCAAGCTGCTGAACTGCCAGCTTTAGACATGGGTGGCACCTCAGACCCCTACGTCAAGGTGTTCCTGCTCCCTGACAAGAAGAAAAAGTACGAGACCAAAGTGCAGAAGAAGACCCTCAACCCTGCCTTCAATGAGACCTTCACCTTCAAAGTGAGCCCCTACATCCATAACACAAGATCTTGTCTCCCACTCCAGTCCTTCCTCCTGGCTGTAGCAGGCCTATGTGCTGACTCCCTGCTGGGAGTGGCTGGTCCTGGCTCGGGGTCCTCCGAGCCCCTCGCAGCCCCCTTGTTGTCCCTTTGTGCAGGTGCCCTACCAGGAGCTGGGTGGGAAGACGCTGGTGATGGCCATCTACGACTTTGATCGCTTCTCCAAGCACGACATCATCGGTGAGGTGAAGGTGCCCATGAACACTGTGGACCTGGGCCAGCCCATCGAGGAGTGGCGGGACCTGCAGAGTGGCGAGAAGGAGGAGGTGAGAGCCAGCCTGAGATGGGGGCTGGCCATGGGGTGAGCTCTGCTTTCAGGGCCACCCCACAGTGCTCAGGGCCACCATCACTGTGGGGTCCTGCCAGGGTACCAGGAATATCCTGGCAGTCATTGGTGGGCAGGATCTGACCTGTTCCTCTGTGTAAAAATGTTTCTAGAACAAAAAACAAGACTGTAAAACATCTTGAGTGGGCCTGGCTTGTCCTGGACCCAGTGATCAAACTCTTGTGTCGGTCCACAAGGTGCCAGCTTGTGCCTGGACCGAGCAGGGTTTGGGGTGACCTGTATGTGTGATTGTGTCCCAACACTGGAGTCCCAGGCACTGGCAAGGCTTTAATCTCCCCTCCTTGATCTGCTTGGCAGCCAGAGAAGCTGGGAGATATCTGCATCTCCCTCCGGTACGTGCCCACGGCCGGGAAGCTCACTGTCTGCATCCTGGAGGCCAAGAACCTGAAGAAGATGGATGTTGGGGGCCTCTCAGGTGGGTGTTGCTCAGAGGCAGCCTCCTCCTGCCCTGCTGGGTGCTCCAGCATCCTCTGTGGGGAATGACTCTGGGGCCACCTGTCTGGCAGAGCTTGGGAAAACCTCCCAGTGCCTCCTCATGCCTTGGGGGCAGCCTGGTCTGGCTGGGGCGGGAGGGGAGTTGGGCACAGGATGCATCCCTGACTTTTGGGAAGAACGCTTTGAATTTGGTTCCCCTGGTTCGAGCAGGACCAGGATGCTGCAGGACCTGGGTGGTGAAAGTGCTCCTCTGCCATTTGCTCCTGGTCCTGTTCCTCCTTGATCTGGGGGCCAGGAACCTCAGCTGACAGCATGTTTTGTGCTTGAACTGTCTTCCCAGCCCCATCCTGGGGCTGAGCTCTGTGCCCAGGGATCCTCAGCTCTCTCCAGATGTGCTTTAACCATGACAAGAGCAGTACCTGCATGGCTGGAAGGATCCTGCTTTATTGTGGGCTTTCCTGCTCCAGAACCAGGGGGGACAGGTCAGAACCCACAAAGTGACTCATGTGACAGGCCAGCTGTCACTCCACTGTTCCCTACAAGGGGGCCCCCAGCACAGAATCCCAGAATCATTACTGTTGGAAAAGACCCCCAGGATCACCAAGTTCAAGCTGTGCCTGATCCCCACCTTGTCACCCAGACCAGAACACTGAGTGCCATGTCCAGGTGTTGTTTGGACAGCTCCATGAATGGGGACTCCACCACCTCTCTGGGCAGTTCCAATCCTGTTCCAATCCAGACCATCCTTTCCATAAACAAATTCTTTCTGATGTCCAACCTGACCCTCCCCTGTCTCAATGCCATTTCCTCCTGTCCTGTCCCTGTTCCCTGGAAACAGAACCTGACCCCCCTCCAGCTGCTCCCTCCTGTCAGGGAGTTGTTCAGAGACAGAAGGTCTCTCCTCCTGAGCCTCCTTTTCTCCAGGCTGAGCTCCCCAGCTCCCTCAGCCTCTCCTCATGTCTGACCCTCCAGACCCTTCCCCAGTTCTGCTGAATGCAGAAGAGCTCCATATCTTGGCCAGTTGCTCCCACAAATCTTCTCCAGCCTGACCATTTTGTCTTTGGCATCCATCCACAAACCTCACACCACCTTTACTCAGGGCAGTCTCTCCCTCACCCTGGGTTGAGATGTCTCCTGGGACCAGGCCAGCAGTGTCCCCAGGGCACCTCAGCCCTGGCTAATGCCCCATCCTGATCCCCAGATCCCTACGTGAAGATCCATCTGCTGCAGAATGGCAAGAGATTGAAGAAGAAGAAGACCACAGTCAAGAAGAAGACGCTGAACCCTTACTTCAATGAGTCTTTCAGCTTTGAGATCCCCTTTGAGCAGATACAGGTTTGTCTGATGACTCCCCTGGGATGGAACATGTCCTAAAGCTGCCTGAGCCCTTACCCCAGCCTTCCCAGCAGCCTGAGCTGCTCCTGCTGAGCTCCTGGTCTGGTCACCCAGGAGATTCTTCCAGTCCCATCTGGGGCCTGGGCTGATGCTGAGGGCAGCTGTTGCAGGGGCAGAGGTGGGAGGCTGGGCAGAGCCCATGGGAGATGAACCCCCAACCCAGATCATGACTAAAATAAGGTTTTCTCTGCTCCTGATCCTACAGTGCTCACCCTTAGCAGAGCAGGGTGGTCCTAGGAGTGTTTTGAACTCTTGGCCACTGCCTTCTGCTCCTCCATGTGCTGTGCAAGTCCCTGCAGGTGCCCCTTGCCCCTGCCCAGTAGCCCAGAGCTCTTGCCCATCCCCACACCACACTTTGGTGACCTTTCCCAGGTGAATCAGCTCAGGATGAGCTGGGCCCCCACCGGGCTCTGTGCTCCTCAGAGAAGAACATGAAGGAAGCAGGGGGGGGGCCCTGCGCCAAAATGGGCCACAGTGGGGCTCATCCTTGGAGGATCCCTGGGGCACCATGGAGCTCTCATGGCCATTGTGCCTTTCCCCCCCTCTAAAAAAGGTTTCCTTCTTTAGAAAGTGCAGGTGGTCATCACAGTGCTGGACTACGATAAGCTGGGGAAGAACGAAGCCATCGGCAAGATCTTCACAGGCTTGAACTCCACGGGCACGGAGCTGCGGCACTGGTCCGACATGCTGGCCAACCCCCGGCGGCCCATTGCCCAGTGGCACTCGCTCAAGCCGGAGGAGGAAGTGGATGCAGCTCTTGGGAAAAACAAATAGGCAGCTCTGCCGGCCGGCGCGGCGCTGCGGACAGTTGACCCAGAGCTACTGATACCTCAGTTCTGCAACCTTCCTTTTGGTTTTTTTGTTCTGTTTTAAGCTGAAATGTCCTTTGATACCTCTGGAAGGGTATCCAGGCAGTCCCAGTAGCTTCCAGGGGAAGAGGTTAAAGACATGGATGGTTCTTTTTGTTCTTCAGCATCGCTCCTTTCTGCTGCATGTCCCATTGACTCTGCTTGCCATCCCTTCCCAGTGCAAAGCCACTGGCACACCTGGGACCTTCCCCAGCAGCTGTGTCACCAGTCTGCAGCATTGCTGCCACCATCCTGCCCTTGGGATCACGTGGGGAACCGTGGAAGGTGATATTGGAGCCTGCTGGTGTGAGATGACCAGACCCACCGTGCTTGGTTGGGGCGTGACCAGTAGTGAGACACAAAAACGGTGCAGAAGACCCTCTGAAGAGACCCAGTGCCTCCCCCTGGCCCTCTCCAAGGAAGGCTGAGTGCCCCTGGCCAGCTCCAGGTTTGGATTCTCTGAGGAGAGGCTTGCAGGGGCCGTGGATCCTGCTGTGGTGGTGGGGTCAAGCTCTCAGTGCTGCAGCAGGAGCTGTGGAGGCACAGGGAGCCTCGGGAGGGCGGCTCCAAGGAGACACAGGGTGAAATGTGGATGCACCAGCAGCACTGTGGGGATCACCACCACCACCACCAGCATCACCCCCTGTGTTCTGTCCCCAGAGGGGCAGCGCTGGGTGATTTGTGTCTGTGTCCCACCATGCC